GTAGGCAAGTGCTGTGTTAATAGCAGCTCGACTCTCAAAATTGATATCCAACCCATTGCTTCTGAGGTCCTGCCTCAAAGTTGCCAAACCCTCTTTCATGACTCTCACAGAATTTTCTGCGGCACCTACAGATTGATGCGCTTGCGGGCCCCCCCGTACGATTGACAAGGCTCTACCTACATCAATCCCTCGAAGCAAAGCAGTCACTGCTTGTTCAGCATCTGTAAGAATTTCTAAGGGATATTTCGAAGGCCCAACAAGGTTGAATTCTGCAAGCCAAGCTTTGACCCATTGCTGAGTGGACCGCGCGTCGGTCTCAACTGGTGCAATACCTCGCATCCCAGTGATAGCGTCAGCCAAAATCAAATACTTATAAGTTGAAGGTGCACGCATCCCAGTTGGAATGAACAAGAAGTCACAAATCAGCTCGCTTTGCATGGCGTCTTTGCGTTTCCGTCTACGATGGCTGGTGGACTTGGCTGCAACGCATGTTAGACAGTCTGGATGAAATGGAAAATGACCCTGCATACGATGTTCCTGCAACTTGTCCAAATTCTTCCTATCCTTTCTCAAAATGGATGGATGACTATGCTCACCGCTCTCCACCTGCCTGGAATCATCAGGACCTGCCAGAAAAGGTGAATTGGAAACATCTGCGTCGAGTTCGGTTGCGTGATTGGGCTCAAAATCATAGTCAAACGGCTCGCTGGAAAACTGAATTCGTTCAGCCTCCAGCTGATCACGTATGGAAACTTCATTGGGGTTCGGATTCAAAGTGCTAGAAACGGCTGCGGGATCCAGTTCTCGGATATCCGTATCCGCTGAGCGCTTTGTTGTCATTACAAATGGCTGGTCTTCAAATGCAAGCTCTTCGGAATTCACCATCTTCTCAACCGATTTCCTTTCCAAACTTTTGTCACTTGGCACATCGATTGGCATGTGTTTGCTGTCATGCAAAATCCATGGAACATTTTGCCATGTCACACTTGACAGTCTGAAATTGCCAAAGTGCACGGACACCTCACCGCCGTCACTACCAAGACTCCATCCTTTTCGAAGCAAATTCCCCACTGAGAGGACATTATTTGGAGCATCTGCAACAAACGCCGAAATCCAGCATTCTTTCAAGAAAGTTTTGGACGGATCATTGGTTGCGACCATGGTGAAAAACACTCGTAGACAAACAAGAGAAATTGGAAAGATCACTTCGCCTGATGCTGTGGAAAATCCCGGTCCCGAATTTGGTTTCAAACTCACGGACTTGACAATTCGGTATCGATCTACAAATCGTGCGCTCACAACAGAGGCGCTGGCTCCTGAGTCAATGAGCCACCAATCAGCATCACGATGGCTATCCGAGGCTTGCTGCAAACATCTTGTTTCATTGGAATTACTCATTGGGCATAAAAAAGGCATGAAAAACAGATTGTCTGTTTGCAAGTGGCTTGAAAACTCTGAGTCAGGAAAACTTTGATCAGCACATGAAGGAAAAACGCTGCAACAACAATGCTCAACGCTGCATGCCGACAAAGTGTCAGAGTCAAACGAGACGTTCTTGCTCTGCTTCTGCAAATGGTCAAGGGACTTTTCAAAGTTCAACACCTTCTGTTGGTACCACTGGCCAATGAAAGACTTCATTGGTGGCTGATGGTCCGTAGAACTGGATCCAGTCCCATCACCTTCAGGCGGATTCTCGCCTTCCTTGTGCTGCTCCACAAGTTCATTGATCTTGCCTTTTCCGGTACCTTTCTTTCCCTGACCACTGCCTTTGCCCTTTCCACCACTGTTGTTCTCTGGCCCCTTTTTCTCCTTGGAATCTGATCTCTTGCTATTCTTGGCAGCAGTACTCATGTCCAGCGGCTTCCCATTGGAATCTTTCTTGGCATGACAATTTGTCTTGTAATGACCTTTGCGACCACAACGGAAGCAAGTATCATTCTTTTCTTTCTCATTCTCGTCCTTTCCTGCTGCTGCTTGAGTTCTCCTTTCCCTTCTTGCCTTTCCCTTTTCCTTTTCCCTTTTTCCCACCATCCAAAGCACTGTGCATGTAGTGCGAATTGGTGTTTCCAGAAATCTCTGTCCAAATTCTGGAACTGGATTCATACCTCAAAGCTGCGGCTTTCAAGTCTACATACTCATCGGTTTTGGAATGAAGCATCACATAGTCACGAGCTGAACCAGTTAGGCTACGAAAGAGGATCATGCTAAAGTCCGAGGATTGAATCAACAGTCCATCCCGACTCAAATGAGTAGGCAACATTGCGAGCAATTTCTGATAACGGCTCTCTTCATAGTCAAGATTTTGGATCAGCTCAGTGATGCTGGCTGCTTTGAAAGTACGATTCACTAAAGCACTACGAAAATGCAAAATTTCCTGTCTTGATTTCAGCATGTACTCTGCCACGATAAGCCGAAGTGCTTCGAAGCCATTCTTTGGTCCGGGCTTTTCCTGATATGCCAACAGAATTATTCTTGCTTTGGCCGTCTGACCAAAAATCTGCCGCAACATACCAAGTAGACGGGCTCCACGTGCAAGCTGCGCTGTGCTCAGCTGGTGGTTGGGAATCGCATCAAGACAACTGGCTGAAAAACGAATTTCATGGGCAAATTCATGATTGATCAGGCCAACCCAACTTACTAGGTTTTCTACAAATGATTCGATGCCCAAAATTTCATCCAAGCGTGTGCGCCATTTCGATGAATCCACTGAAGGCATGGCGGGCAGCCATCGATCTGACTTGGCCAATGCATCAAGTCCGACCGAAGCTCCCACTGTCTCCGAGCCAGCTTGATTCATGACCCGGGCCTGACTGCTCTCCACACCTGGAATGCGCACAGCTGGATTAGTGGCTGTTGGGGCACTCGACAAGTCACCAAAACCAAGTCCTCCGCCAAGAGGCGAAGAGAATGGGCTGGACAAACTCTCGATCTTCCTGGAATCTGTGGCGTGCGAAGTCGGATCAACAGGCGTGTTGCTACCTGCAGGGATTTGTGCTGCTGCATTCTGCGCAGCACTTTGCAAGGAATTCAATTGAACCTGTTGACTTTGAAACGCTTTGCTGGCAGCAAGAAGGGCTGACTGTTGTCCCTTCATCTGCTCAACCACAGTCTCCAGATTCTTTCCCATATTCACTAAGTTCGCTTGGAGTTCATGAACCTGCTTCTCAAGCGCAAGAGTTTTGGCATCTGGCTGCATGGATCCAAGGGACGGAACAGGCAACGATCTGTGACGCTCAGAGACCATCATTGGGCGACCACTTTCGATCCTTTGACGCGATCTCCCACGGTCATCAAGTTCACGAGACCGCTCCCTTCCAGAGGCCATGGCTGCACACCGGAAAAACTGGTTGTAATTCTATGTTGTCCCTATTGGGGGCGTTGTCCCAACTGAAAACTGGATCAACTACTTTCTGAGCACCACGTGCTCCGCTACCATGCGGAATTTAACAGCCCCAGGGGATAAACAGTAGGTTGTCAACCAGATACCTTTCAAGATCTTAAAATGTGAGTTCTTATGATGTCACTCCCAGTGAAATCTCTGTTCTGATCTTTTCCATAATCGCGGTGTGGCCCTTGAGCCAGATTCCGGGATGGAATTCATTATTCCATGGACAGCACATCCAGCCTTTGGCAGGATGAAAAACTGTTTTCTTTGCATCAGTTTGGGTTAGATCCAAGTCCTTCAGTTCTGTTCTCTCACAGCCTACTCACTTGGAAATTCTTGTCGACCCAAACGTTGACCTAATTAGCACCTTCTATGGTGCAAAAGTCGGTGTCAAGCAACTTCTTCTGTGTCACATGCAAAACAATGAGTGAACAGCAGTGAACGAAATTTGCAAATCAGTCCAAATTTAAAGTGGATCTAAGTGACAAATTCTGAAACTATGTCTCACTGTTCTTGGCTGAGATGGTCATTCGCTCAGACACTTGGCTTGTCTACTTTCCTGCTATCACTACGTTTCCACCACTTCTCAAGTGGCTCTTTCTGCAGTTCAGAACATTCAAGCAAACATTTGGTTCCACCAAATGTGAAGATTGCACAAAACCAAAAAAAAACGGAGAAATATGTGCAACTGATTATGGCTTCGCAAATTAAATCCGAGATCACAACTGCGAGACTCTCTGAACTGAGTGCACGGGCACAATCCAAATAAATCGCACTGCGCTAAGCACTATAGGTCAATGCTCGGATGCTTGTAGTTACATGTGGTTGCCGATGGCTTCTGAAGACAAGCAAATGGCATAAAGTCTAGAGTGTTGGAATCGGTTTCTCTCACATTTTCCACAACTGTTCTCAGTTGTGAGCAGCTTTCCCATCTGAAAATATTTCTGACTGTCGCAGTGGAGCACGCACTCCCAAGAAATTTAGTTCAAGCTCTCGTGACATCTGCTGCACTAAGTTTATGTCTACCGACGGATGCATCAATGATGCACAGACATTATCAAACTAAATCTCTATGGAATGAGATCCTCACTCTTTGCACTGCACCTTTGGATTCACAATTCCGGCAGGAATTGTGCAAAACTTGGCTTATCACTGTCCAAAAAATCAATACTCTTTCTCAGGAGAAAATTTCGTGTGTTCTGCACCAAAAATCAACTGTGCTTTGGCGTTTTTGATCAAGAAAATCATTTCAATTGGTGTTGAGCACCAAACGGCATATGCTTCATGAATTTAAGCCTAAGCGGCTGAGATTTTGGATCTGAAGCGCTGACACGATTGTTAACATGCACCTCTGTCCCAGATGGTGCATTTATATTCACATCATCATCATCATCATCATCATAATCATAATCACCATCACAAACAGAATCCAAATATCCCAAATAGCAAACCACAGTGTGTCCGTCAAATAGTGAGTCCTTCCTTTTCAGAGTATCCTTCACTACTATTATTATCATTACTATAAATATTATGCGTTGTACTAATAATAACATGGTGAAATTGCAATCTCGGTGTATCTCAAGGATATCCCAATCCAAGAACCACACACCCACTC